CAACCTTTTCTTGTTCTACTACTTCTTTTTTGAGTCCCATCCATGAGATGATAGCAAGACACAGCATTGAAGGATTTATACAGTGCACTGGACCATGCACTGGCCATGGACTAGACCACTGCACCATACAGTGACAAAGCTGTCTGTGTTCTCTGTTTTATACCCAGTTTCATTCCTGCCTGGTAACATCCCATTTGCTTTTCCTGATGGGCAATGAGTTGATGTTCCCACGGTAGTACCTGTCTTAACCCAAATTTTCACCCCTGAATTTGACTCCTCTTTCTATAGGTAAGCCAGGACTGGTTTTCCTTGAATGCATCACTTCACAATCACCCACTCGAAATTTCACCTGCCCCTGTATTGCCCAGTCTCTGAAAGGTTCAGCTGCTGCCTTTTGATGCAGCCATCCCTCCTACCCTCTGTCCCTTTTGAACAAGGTATTGTGGCTCAGAGTTGCATCTTAGGGGTCTAATTCAAGAGCAAGGGTTGGGGTTTCTTTCCAAATAAATGCAAAATTGAGTAGAAATAAGTTAGTAGGACCACAAAATGGATGAAGCAAGTAATCTCAGGCAAGCCTTGGGTTTCCATACTGCCAGCACTGCCAGCAGGAGACATGAAGAAAGGAAAAGGGAACCCTTCCTCCCTTCCACTAGCTGTAACCTGCTGTGGAAATTGAAGTTCCCCCCTCAAAGGTTTTAACACTAAAGATGCACAGCAACACCCTCTTCTGGGAAAGTCCTCCTGCACCACACAGATGCACCCAGAAACTCCCTGAGTTGTCTCCACCAGGATTTCCTGCCCAAGGTCTTCAGGGAAGAAGGTTAGTGTGCAGCAAGGAAGGAGACCAGATATGGACCCAAACAGATAATTTTCGTTTTCTTAAGGGAAGTCTATAAACAAGTAGAAAAACTTTAGGACTTTTGTGGTTCTGGACTGGATCTCTGTGGTATTTTGGAGACTGGGACAGCAGAAGACCAGCCTGTCCACTGTTAACTCCAGCTGGGGCACTGGCAGAGTAAATTGTCACCAGTCCCCAAAAGGTGCCATCACAGATTGCTGATCTACCGAATACCTGTACAAAGGAGCTCTGCAGCACCAAAAGAGAAGGTGTGGGAAGCATCTGCAAGGAAAACTCATAACACATCCAGGTCTTTTTCTATCACACTTCCAGCTGAGGTACTAACAAGCATGGAAATTGTGGAGATTTTCAACCCAGTGATCAGGTAAATGGCTACACCACAAAGAGGTGGGAGCGCAGGAGTGTTTGTGGTTTGCATTCTGGATTTTAAGCTGTGTGATGTGTACGTGTGAGAGTACCCAGAAGAGTGGGCAGTATTGACCACTGAATTGGAAACACACGGCTGCAGTGGAAACACAGAGTGTGAGTACCTGTTGTGTGACAGTTTCACTTGACATTCTGCAAGCCCCTTTGGTGCAGCGGCTTTGCAAAGAAAAAGGGGGGGCAGCAAGTTGCTCATAAACCACAGGTTCACTTCACACCGGAAGAGCTGCGTGCTGGAGTCTCAACATTTTATTTTTTCCTCTGTTTGGAAAAAAAACAAACAAAAAAAAAGCTTATGATTTGCAACCAGATTTTGAAATCTTCATTAAAACTTTCCATTCCTCCTCACGAAAGAGGAATGGAAAGTTTCAAGGCAAGCCTTCGAAGTATTACTACAGGAAGAGTCAGCAGCACTGCGGCAGACACAGTCCGGTGTCACCTCCTGAGTTACCATCACCGATTGCTCACAGGGATCAAACAGCACCTGCAGCATCACTGCTCGGCAGTTGGACATCCTTAAGGAGCACTATGAGGAGATGGGCAGCAGAACAATGGACCTCACAGAGCACAATCATTTTGGGGCCCTTCTGTGTTCACCAGCCATTGCAGCGTGATTTCCACATCCTGAGGGACACCGTGCGTTGTCTGGTATTACTGACACTAACAAACTGAAGAGTTTCTCACCCCTTGAAAAAGTCCCTGGGATCTTTCCACAAAATGACTAAGAAATCAAACATATCCAAAACTCAGCATCTCCTCCAGCTCTGGTGCCCCAGCTCCCTCTCATTTCCTGTGCCTTCTCTGTCAAATGGATGGAAGCAAGCATACGGAATGAATCCTAAATTCATCTCCTGCCAAGCCTCATTCAAAATCAGGTGGATCCCTCTTGTTCTGTCTTGTTCCTGCATGATTTTCTCTCTTTTCTCCTTGTTCCTGTCTTCTCCTGCTAATTATTTGACATTAATTAAATAAAGAATTAGGCTGGCCTTAGTATATAAAGATAAATCTCAATCACGAGCACCTGAGGCTGGAGTTATCAGAGCCCTGCAACCTAAGCTATGAGTAAAATAAAACTTATTGTTAAGTTTGGGAGAAAAAAAGAAATTATCCTTTACTGCCTAATCAACCTGTCTGGTCTCCTGACTCCTCTTATATGATGCTCTGCAGAAGTAACTGGTTGTCCAAGTATTTTTTCTTCTTCCTTAATCATATGATAAATGAGGTACTACAACAGAAATCTTTAATAAAACATGGTATTAACACTGGTGTTCATTGATTTGGCTTACGTCGTCAGTTAAACAATGGCAATCTATTGTAAAATACTGTCTAGAGAACAAACAGCCAAGTCAGGGCATGCTAAAGACAAGGAGATTTCTTAATTAGTCTGATTATTCACCTTCTCCTCTGAGTTTTGAAATTGGTCATTAGTGTTAAGCTCACGTGAACTGACCTAAATTATTTCTACAAGTGTTGATTCTAAAGCAGAGCTTTTTCCTGGAGGCCCTGCTTGTGTCCTGGAGCTTTTCTTGATCAAACAATTGCCACTGCGGCTGCTTTAATTTTTCTTATTGTTCCTGTGTGAAACAGAAACAGCATTGTGCCAAGCAATACCAGAACACAGAAGTCAGGAAGAAGCAGACGTGTGACAGGCCCTCTTGCAGCTGCGTCTCCCCCCTGACAGTGAGCTTTTGCCTTGCCTTTAAAGGGTATATTCATTACCAGAGCATTGCAGGTGGCAGAAAGGAGCAGCTTCCCCCCAAAGCCATCTGCTGTGACTCCCCAGCATTGCCCTTGCCCAGCACAATGGGAAAGCATCAGCAGAGACAGGGAGGGACTGGAGATACCTTTTGTGTACTGGTGAGCTGCAAAGTGCTTCAGCTAATAAGTGTATGGTGAGAAAAAGTAAGCCTCTGAACTAATGCAAAGCATGAATGGGACAAAGGAAATGGTGGCCCTGCATGGAAACCAGCTCAAGCCATGGGCAACAAGGACCAAGATCTCCTCTACACACAGGAGAGGAACCTCTGGGTGCCAGTTTGGTACCGTGGACTGATTCATAATAAAATTCATCATTTGTCAGAGATAAGAAAGAAGTGAGATATCCCTACTGAGAAAGGAAGTAGCCCTTCCTGGAGGATCCTTTCATTGCACAAGTTCTCCCAGCAGATCCATCACCACACCTCCGAGGACATGCACTATGTACTCTAGTGTAGAATCCATGCTCTACAGTGGAGTGAGAACCTAGTCTTGACAAATGTTTGACTCATCCTCATTTACCAGCACATTCACTCCCATTTGAACCACACTAAAAAAATGGGAATGAGGAATTTTCCTCTTTTGGTCTCCAGAAGGTTATGCTTTTGAAAATGCTTTTGAAATACGATTTTCTGCCACTGAGTTGTAATAGTGATGGAAAAGGGAGGACTCACACAGCAATCCCAGTGGATGGCAGGAACCAGCTCACTTCAGCACTCAAGAAAACATGAGACTCAACTCTAGCCAACTACAAGGCAAGCCCCTAGTTCAGTTCCTTGTCAACATTCCTCCATCAACCTGTGATGATGAGCACTTCCCAAGAGCAGCTTATCCCGTTATAAAGAGAGGATGAACTGTAGTTAGGGTTAGGTGAATAAACTGCCCACTGAACCAGAAGGAGCCTATACAAGCAGCATCACTTGATGTCTGATCTAGAGGTGGCTGGGGCACTAAAAATTGATGTTTGGCTCAAGTCTGATGTTCACATTTGCTTGACAGGTTTTGAGATCCAGACCCTTGTAATATTATTTAATGTATGAAACCCGTTCACCCTTTATTTTGCCAAAATCTACTATTTCAAGTAGACATCACAACTACCACAGCCTCAGGAAAGTACGAATTTCACACATCTCAGCAGCCTAACAGCAGCTTTCCTCACTCACCAGTAGGTTTTGAAGCCCAGTGAAATGAACACAGCCCAGCCCCTTGCAGTCTGGTGAAACTGTTCTTACTGTATGCACGAAGCTGCAGGAAGCATCGCCCATCCCCATGTGCAAATGGTCACCCAGAGGCAGCAGCAAGGGCCCTCTCTGTTGATGCACACAAGGGTGTTTTTGGCAGGGCGGAAGACCCTGTGGTTAGAGAAGAGAACCACAAGTCGTTAAAACAAAGAAAAAGCAAAGCATCCCCCAGGGCACGGGGCACTCTTGGTGTGCTCAGCTGACAGACCACCTGAATTGCACAAACTGGCTTTTGCCGAGCAATCGCAAAGGAGAATTGACCAAAGAAGAACTGCAAAGAGGACAATTAAACACCTGCAGAGACCATCTGTGTGCCAGCAACACATGTGTTTGGAGATAAATGATATGTATATATATGCCATGGAACACCTGTGTCTCACTTGCTGGGTACAAGAATACTCTGGGCTCTGCCATCCACACAAGACCCAAGAGAAGGAGGCAGAATCCCTCACAAGAAACACAACCTGGGCCCTTCAGCCAAAGGATAGGACTTGTCCATGACTTCTGTGGAGCTGGAGCTGCTGTGGACCCCCAGAGGGCTGGGGGAGAGCAGGCTGGGGTGCCTGATCCTACCTCAGGCATGAGCAGCAGCACTCTGGATCTCTAGGGGAGACATCAAGGCAAAATCCTTGAGTAAGAACAGAAAAGGATAAAGGAGCCCAAATTTGGACTTAGAATTGAATTTCTTCAGAAATCTCTTTTCGCACTGCATTTTGCCGCAGATGCCGAGCACCGTCTCTTTACCCAAGAGGGTCCCAATGACATCACATCCTCCCCAAAGAGCGACACAGCCTTCCAGATCAAGAGAGAAACATCGTCTCAGCTGCGCTGCACCTTCTCCAAGGACAGACACCTCCAGCAGAAGATGGACGGGTCTCCTGCCCTGCTCCTCCTGCTCGCTCTGGGACTCTGTGAGTATGGACACAGGGTGGTGCAGCCCTTTTATTGGGAAGGGCATGGTCAGAAATTGGGCTAAACAGTTAAAGGGGGGGGGCAAAAAGTAAACCAAAAAGGCTGACTTTGAGATGTGCTCAGTAATTGTGGAGGGAAAGGCGGCATCGCCTTGGTCAGCGTAGGGCAGCCAGAGGGGTGGCTGCAGCAGCACAGGCACCAGGAAGGGAGTCGGGTCAGCTGAGTGGTTCTGGAGGGGATGGAGAAGGGGGGGAAGAGAGAGCTTAGCAGTCAGTGCTTTTAGAAATTCACTTCAGATAAGCTGGAGAGGAGTAACATCCCCAAAAAGGCAGCTGGAAGGGCAGCACCCATCTATAAAGCCCACATGGCTGATTGCTGAGCACCCTCCATGCACAATCCCAGCAAGGACTCCAACAAAACCTTCCCATCCTCCTGACAGTGTGGTTCTCCCTTTGCGTTTGTACTTCCCTCCCATGGACAGGGCAGGAGATTTTTTTCTAGAGGGACCATTGGCTCTTCCCAAGCAGTTCCAACAAGGATTTTTCTCCTCCAGGCTGCCCTGGGATCCGTGGCCAGATGTATGAGATGAAGGTCAGGTTTCGTGACAGCATCACCCAACTCCGGGTGGGACAGCGGCTGGAACTGGAGTGTCAGACGGACAGGGATAGTGGAGCATTCTGGATCCGCCAGGACAGGAGTGGGACCCTTCACTTCATTGTCTTCATCTCTTCCCTGTCCCGAGTCACCTTTGAGGGGAATCAGAGAACATCCACACGCTTCGAGGCCGGCAGACACAACAGGTTCTATTGGTTGGTAGTGAAGTCTTTCACACAGCAGGACGAGGGGATTTATTTCTGCCTCATGAACATCAACCAAATGCTGTACTTCAGCAATGGCCAGCCTGCCTTCTTCCCAGGTCAGCAACATCTCCACCCAACCTTGCTTAGCACTGCCAAAAAGCCCTCCTGCCTATGCCTGTTTTAATGAGCCACCTCTCCCACAAACCCCAAAGCATCTTGTGACCAACCACTGCTCCTGCTGAAGGTTCCCTGCTTGCCATCTCTCCTCATGGAGAGATTTTCCCAAAGGCAAAGATGATTGTGCAGATCCAGTATCACTTCCCCATCCCCACTTCTCCATCCTACACATGGCTCTGAAGGGATAACAATAAAGTCCAGCACCACCCTCTGCTTCCTCACCTCACATAGGTCCCAAAACTCAGGGTGCTTAGGCTGTATGAGGATGGTGTCAGACACCAAGCAATAAGGAGGCTACAGCTCCTTATTGGCTCCTAGGAATCCCTCCCTGGAGGAGTCCCCATCTCAAATTGGATCTATGTCCCCACGGAGTTGAACGCAGGAGCATCCATACCCTGGCAGGGGTAGGAGAGCAGAAGGGCAGGAGGGAGCTTTTTTTATTGGATTTGCCTACACTCTGAGGTCATCTCTTTTCACTTATAGTCCCCACCACAGTGGCACCCACCACTACAAGACCCACCACCCGGCATGACATCACCAAAAAGGAGCCCTTCCTGGAGACACCAGACCCAGGTAGCCTGGATGGAGGGAGGGAGAGGGAAGAGCTGGGCTCTGGTCTACTGATACTGAGGGGGATGGTGCAGGCATTTTGGGATGGGAAGAGACTGAAAAATCCGTAGAGCTTTATCAGAAATGGAAGGATTGAACTCTTAACATTTCATCCCAACTAGGAAAGGCTTAAGATAAGGTAAAGAGTATGAGCGTGCCTGGGAATGCCGGGCCGAGGGGGAGGGAGGGCAGAGCCTTGGGGGCTGGGAATGGTTTTTAGCCTCATCAGGGAAAAGAGAAAATTTCTGGCTACCTGTCCTCCCTCAAGCCTCTGGAAAATGGTGAGAGGAGCAGCCCAGGGGAAGCCCTCTGGCCTCACCGCCAGCCTCGTGGCACACCAGGCAGGGCCCTTGGCAGCTCCCTTGGCTCCAGCAGAAGTGGCCTTAACACCAGTTGTGAGCGCCTCATGAGCCTTTCCTCTTTTCCATTCCTGCAGAGACCAGCAGGAACAAGCTGAATTTCTTCTGTGATATTGTCATCTGGGTTCCCTTGGCAGGCACCTGCCTCCTGCTCCTCATTGCCCTGGCCATCACCGTCGTGCTCTGTCAACGTAAGACTCACCACCACCCTCTGTAGATGCTGCTGAGGGATTTTCAGCAACATGCTCAAGTCCCTGGGGACAGCCATCAGAAATAATTCACCATCGGGGTTCCCAGGCCGACCCTGCTACTGCTACTCACCTCACACTTTAATTCATCAAAATATTCAAGTGCATTGCTGTGGGAACATGAGCTGCAGCACCACTCCCTGGCAGGGATTTCCTAAAAAATAAGCCTGGTTTATCTGTTGTTAGTCTCAAAGATATCAGCTGCTGGGGAGCATCAGCCCCACCTGTTTATTTACTGACCTGTGACTTGTTAGCTTTGAACTAATTACTTTTTTATTTTCTTTCTTATTTTAGGAACCAGAAGACGAAGATGCAGATGTAAAAGGTTAGTAAGTGACAGGTGTTGGTGCTTTTGTCTTAAACTTGGCAACATCTCAATTTCAGGTGATAGAGCAGGCAGGTGCCCAAAAGCAACCTAAAACTTAAAGGCAAAACCAAGACAGAAGTTCTCTTCTCCTGTGGTTTTGGTTTTGTTTGGGTTTTTTGATCGCTTTTTTTTTATTTTTATGTAATTCAAATCACATAGCCTTGACACTTCAGTAGACACAAACCAGAAAGACAGGAAGGGCTTGTGGTAGCCCAAAAACTTTGCACGTCACATAATGCTCATAACTAACCCCATTTCTGTGCTCCCAATGCACCACTCCAAAGTTGAGCCTGGGGGTGACTGTATTTCATTCCTTGCCCTCCTCAAACCATTCATTTGATTTCATCACTGGACATTCAGGTGTGCCCATGGATTAGATGCAAGTTATTGCATCCCAAGTCCCCCTCTGAACCGTTTTGGACTGGCATCATCACGGCTTCAGGCCTCTATTTCCCCCACAGGCACTAAGGAACAGCAGCAGAGAGGCTGCTCCAAACTTGGATGACTTTCCTGAGAAACAGCTCTGCAGACAGGAATAGATTTAAAAGTAACCCAGTTTCTATGCACTCAGGAACATTTTTTTAATGTTTTCCCTCCTGCCACCCCAACCCACCCGCCATCCTGAGTCACAAGGAGAACACCATCCCAAGGAGAATTGCAGTGTGCCAGTTTGGAAGAAGAAATGCTTTTGCCCACATGCATTTTGCTTCTGCAAAGTGACCTCCCTGCAGCCGCTTTCTTCACCTCCCCTGCTCTGCAGGAAACCACATCTGCAGCTCTGCAAGCCTTGGGCACCCTGGGGCTTGTGGCCAGAGACCCACCAAGAAATCATTGCTGCTGCTCCTGGCAGCCAGTGCTGGGCTTGGTGCTTGGAAGAGCTGGGTTGCCAAGAAAGTTTGGGACAGCACTTTCACAGCTCTGGAGCCTCACTCTTTGCAAATCAAAGCATCTTTTAAATCAGACAAAATCATGTTCTTGTTATACATCCATGGGGCTTACAGTAAGAAAGGTGATTTTTTTTTTAAGGCAGAAGGCATTTTTTTTACCTGTCTGAAAAAGGGAACAGGCTGTCATTGTTATGGCAGATATTTATTATAGCCAGTGCTCCTCTGATTCTTGTCTGCCTTTCCAAGGGAGAAATGACAACAAAGAGCTCTTCAGGCAGCCTTGCTTAGGACAATGTTTGCATTCTTCACTTATCTCAATCCCTGTTGCCAGCCCTGTGCAAGGATGTTCTGTCTCTCCAGAGAAAAAACACCTGCAGAACTCTGCAATTTTGTACAGGTGGAGTGGTTGGGTTACAGCAGAAGTCAGAGACAAATTTAAAAAAACACCTTTTCTTAATTAATGTAAGAAGGATCATCAGTGTGACTTAAGAAAGTCTTTCTGCTGGCTGTCACTACCTGAAATGTTGCCAAATCCTTCACCAGCACAAAGAGGATTTAGGAACATTGTGCAGCCTGCCCTGGCTGCAGACCAAGGCTAAACAAGATCATCAGCTCATCAGACATTAATTGCCCTTCTCTTCCTTTCCCATCAAAGTAAATCAAACCCCTTTTCTCTCTCTAGGCCTGTGCAGGGGAAGCCCCACACCAAACCCGGCACAACAAACTGACACGTTGCAGCATCCACACCTTTGGGCTTCTGGATCATCTCCCGGGAGCTGTCAGCACATAAACACATCTCCTGCCTTCTCT